AAACTAACTTTAATTAGCAGGCAGCTACATCTTGCTCAGAGCAGAGTAGGACGTCACTGTTCCAGTTAGACACTGAGACTACAACGTCATCCCGCCATATCAAAAATGATAATTATGAAAAAAGATAAGGTGATAATATTTTTGTCTGTATGGCCCAACGCTACTGGACAGTAAATAAAGTGTTAACAATTCATGTGTATATTAATTAAAGAGCACACAGGTAGTCAGCAGTTTGCTAGCAGCAGCTGAAGCAGATGGTTACTGGTTTGGTGTTAACATGAACAGATGCATAGCCAGAGGTCGCTTTACATGAAACATTTGGTTATGAATGTAATGTTTCACTTAAATAGGAACACGTACAGTAGTAGAGCAGAAACAACAGGATCTGGATCTTCATTATATGTCATTTTATTAGCATTAGGAAGCTGCAAATAAGCAGGGACAGAGGACACGTGTCAGTCGAGTGAACTAAGTCATTTTTCTGCAAAAGTTACATCAAAGCCCATAGTTATATTAATTGTATAGTTTATATTATAGTACTAAGGAGTGTGTCGTATTATAGGGCGAAGAGGAGCGCAGGGGGCCCAGAATTGTATTCTTTTATGAGCCCCAGTATTTCTAACAGTGCCTTTGTGTGCTTGTGATATTGTGACACATTCTTTGGAAAAGTGACCAATGTATTTTCCAGCTGAGAACCAAACACACCCCTGTGATACATGATATTACTCTGCTACAAAGCAGGAGCCAATATTTAAGTGTGGTTTTGTACTGTATGATGGGCAGGTTACCTGGTTGACTAAATCACATTTGACTGAATCCATTTACATGTATGGTTCTACGCTAAAGAGGAGTCATCAAAAATGTTTTACAGGAAGGAAAAAGAGAGCCTTGTTGGTATTGAAACACCCAAATGATTGTCAGGGCATATAGTTTAGGACACAGGACTAGAACTTGTGCAGCTGGAAGAATGACTAGAGTTAAAGTTGATCCAGTTTTAAAAACATTCAGTATAAAAAAATGAATTAATATTGTGCTGTTGTCAAAATTTGGAAAAGAAAGTATTCACAGATGTCTCTGAGCTGCAGAACAGAAGAATTTCAGAATCAGAATCAGCTTTATTAGCCAGGTGTGTCAGACACACAAGGAATTTGGCCCTGGTACAACGGTTCTCAATGTGTATGTACATGTCAACAAGCAATGGAATGTGCATTAGGAAAGAGATAAAAAATAAGAGTAAAGTTCTTATAGATAGAGACTTGTGTGTATGTGTATATATATATATATATATATATATATACATACACGGGGGCGGCTGTGGCTCAGGAGGTAGAGCGGGTCGTCTCCTAACCAAAAGATTAGAGGTTCAGTGCCTGGCTTGTCCAGTCAACATGTCGAAGTGTCCTTGAGCAAGAGACTGACACCCCACTTGCTC